CCGATTTCCGGAACTCTGAATTCTTTGTGTGAGCATGAAAAGAAAATTTCATAGCTATACCATATGGATCTCTGATGCTTGGTCACAGCGTCTAATGCCAAGGAGATCACCGGCCTGTTCCTGTTTGGTTTTAAATGTCTAGGATTGCTATGAGAGAGGGAGAGAGAGAGGGAGAGAGAGAGAGAGAGAGAGAGAGAGAGAGAGAGAGAGAGAGAGAGAACGCTGTGCAGTTGAGATGTTTTGCCCCAAGGCTGGGAAGGGTCTTCATGTTCCTCCATTCCTCTGTTTAGTGCTAGCTGTGTCATAGTGAGTGTTGGTAGGGGCATCTGGGCCACTTACTTCCTCATCTGGCACTGCTCCCTGTATATACAGCTTTATCACTTCCTCCAGCAAAGTGGAAAGTTTTTCTTCCTTTTGCTCATTTGGTGAATAAAGAGAATTGGATTGACAAAGTATAAACCCCACCCAAATGAGAAACAAAGTCCATTCAGTACCTCAAAGAACTTCACAGACAGTCACAGGAGAATACAGTCTTTCCAAAGTCACTCACTGGGGAGGGTGGGGGTGGTGGATCCTAACTATCAAGACAATCAGTTAGAAAACAGAAAATGAGATGATCTGGGAGCTCATGGCCTCTCCTAGCCATATGGAGCATTGGAATGGGGGCACCCACTCTCCCCCAGGTGCTTGGGAAGGCTTGGGTTGCAAATGGCCTCACAATAGAGACTCTTACACATGGGAAGGCAGTTACTCCAAGGAAGGATCAAGTGCTGGAAGTTCTCTTCCCTTGAGACACCCCCCTTATGGCATGCTCAGAGAGTCACTAATTTCTTATCTCCCTATCTTTAAAGGGAAATGTATGGGTACCCAAAGGAGATGGTTTCGTAAGATGTCCAACACAGACACCAATGCTATTATCAATGTCAGCATCTAATCAAAATAGAATATATTCAATCCAGGAGTAGCATGAGGGGCTACCCAACATTTTGACAGCAGTCACCCCTGTAGCTTGACCCAGGAGTACTACGGGAGCAAGCCTGTACATAACCCTTACTGGCTATGCCTCCAGAAAGGGCTGGATTTGAGTCCTAGTTCACCACTTACAAAGCTGGAGGTGGGGGAAACTTTTAACCTCCAAGCTTAGCATTCTATGTCTCTGTCTAAAAACCACACCACGTGGTTGTGAGAGAAAAGAATAATGTGTACAGAAAGTCTGACAATGAGTCCAGTGAAAACGTCAAACCTGGGGCTGGAGAGGTGGCTCAGCAGTTAAGAGCACTGACTGCTCTTGCTGAGGACCCAGGTTCGATTCCCAGCACCCACATGGTGGCTAAGAACCATCCTTAACTCCATTTCCAGGGGAATCCGAAGCCCTCTTCTGACCTCCTTGGCATTGCATGACATGGGTGCGCTCACATACACGCAGGCAATTTTATTTTTTTATACATGTAAAATAAAAATAATAAATAAAATAAGAGAAAAAAGAAAACATAAAACCCAACTATATGCAGAAGGACAACACTGGCTCGCTAACTTATCTGGTTTGACAGCTTTCTGCATCAGACTTTACGACTCTCCATCCTCATCTTCCCAGGAAGGTGGACGTCATGCCACCTTCTCTGCGGTTCGCCACTGGTAAATCAGAATCAGAGTCATAAAAATGACTCACTTGGGTTGCCCAAGATGTCCCTAAGTGGGAGGTGTGAGGGAGCGCGCATCACTACCCCAGTTCTGTACAATCTGCCCCATCCCCCACTGCAAAAGGAATGAAAGAACCCTGGAACAGCTGGAGGGTTAGACAGTGCTGTGCTGGCTTGCATAAACATGTAGTCATGACAAAATGGGTTTCTATCCCATTTTAAGACCAGGTAAAGTAGGAAGTTGAAATTAACCTCAACCCTTTTAAAGTTAAAACCTCAACAAATAAACAGTGGTTTGGTGGCATGGCAACGTGCCCCTGCTCCCCGCACTTTTACTCTGTTGTAGATCATCTGAGACGTCTATTTTGACAGATTCTCCAGAACTTTTGATTCTAGATAAGCAAAGTTGCTTTCTATCACGAACTGAGGGGGATGACTCCACCCTCCTGAAGGGGTGGGTGCTGGTCCAGCAGTCCTCTGCCTCTCCAGAGACCGGTGGCAAGGTCTCTCAGTCCTCAGTCACGGTCACTGACATCTCTGTAAAGCTGAAAACATTGCCACTTCTACTTCTGGGGACATCTGAGGGAGATGAACACATTCTGTGCTACCTAAAATTTCATCTTACATAGACACGGGTGTTCTAGGGCTAAGCTTGGATGTTAACCATCTTCTAAAGGCTGGGAACCAAGCTAAAGCCGTGGCTGAAAGAGACTTTCATATTATCCCTAGTAAAGTTATAATTTAAAAAAATCCAAGGATCTATTCAAAACTTGACTTGTATAAAATAGTAATAAATAAATTAAAAAAGAAAAAAGAGAGTGGGGAGGGGTAGGAGGAGGAAAGGAGCGAGGCAAGAGAGAAAGTGAAAGTAGTTTTACACACAATATTTTGGGCACTTTCTTTCTAAAACTTTGCTCCTGAGATTTTACAAGTGAACTATTACATATCAGATTCATATTCTGGAGAGAAACCACATCGGCAATATAGTTAACCTTTTTTTTCAAGAGTAGCAAGCGAGCCCCCCCGGGCACTCTAAAACAAGTTACGATTACTCCAATGTTGCAGAAGTGGAAAGTTTTTCAAAGGAACAAGAAAGGGGTGATGCCAGGGTTAAACTGGATCCTCTGCTAAGCATCCAAAGTTCCAGGGAGTGAAGACGCCCACCCATCCACCGTGATGTTGCCACACTCAAGTGGAAGGTGCTAAAGGCCAAGGGATCCACTGACCACCTTTCTTTATACACCCGGCTTTTTCCAGCAAAGAGGCCTACTGGACGCAAAGTGAAAGTAGATCAGGCTCACGCCTTACCAGAAACACGTGGCACAAAGCAGGCTTGGTGGTGACAACCACAATTTGATTCTACAAGACGGGTGTTTCCATTGCCTTTAAAAAGTTTTTGGTTTTAATGCCCGTAGGAGAAAGGAAATCTCTTTCTTGGCTTATTTGTATACATTTATTTTTGTTGCAACAAAGAGACCAAGAAAACAGAAGCTTTTTTGATTTTACATATGGGATCATGGAGAACTTAAATGGCCTTCAATACAAAACAGAAGTGTCTCCTTAAAAATTTATTTTTTGTCCTCCACAAAAAAAGAGATGGTTTTGCCCCAAGTCCATCTGTCTCAAAGTATCATTTGTCTTAACTGACGACACAGAATTGCATTGTGGGATCTTTTGAAATCAGCGTACATATTTTGAAGAATTATTTATCACTCGTAAATACCGAGAAACCAAGGGTGTCATGGGCTCTTTCTAAACACACCTAGGAAGGAAGACTAATTTCGGTTTCTGTTTATACAAAAGAGTAGCTCTGCAGATAGCTGTGTGCACAGCTTACTACGGGAAGGTGCCTTTGAGAATTTTCTGAGCAAATAAAATAACCTGTGTCCAAAATGTAACTATCAGAGATCATAGCATGGAGCTTTGATTTTGCAGGGGGTTGGGGAGAGGGGCAGGCTGGTCTCAAAGTCACTGTGCAGCGAAGGCTGGCCTAGAACTCTTGATCCTTCTGCTTCTACCTCCCAAGGGCTGTAAAGGTGTGTATCACCATTTCCAGGGGCCATAGGCTGTCTATATTACACTCTGGACAATGTGGGAATGGCTTTCAAGAGCCCTATATATTCTATATTCTAAAAGAGAGCCATTGACCCAGAAAGCCCATCAAACAGACGCTGCTTGTATGTGCCCAGCAGAAAATAGGAATGCTTAGGGAATGAATTGCTGCTTTCCACGAAGGACAAAGGACCACTCCCACTGCTTGGCCCTGTTCTTTTCTCCAGGTGGGTTGTTTATCTTTTCCTTTGGGTTGAACAAGTCTGCGTCTCTGAGAAAGGAATATTACTATGACTGTATCATACACTTCTATGTCCTGCATGGCATAGAGAAAATTATTGCCTTTTGTATATTTGAAATGGTATCACAGAGCAAACATTCACTGATGTCAGTCCCTGCCCCTGTCACGGGGTCAATGAACTGTGTACATTATCTAATTTGGCACAGCAAGTTTTATGCAGTTATTGGATTTTACAGTGCTTTTTGCAGTTGATGGCTAGCCCCATGGAATGAACAGAGTTGCACTCTATACTGATCTGAAAATACTATGCTCAATGTGCCAGGATGCATGCGTTCTTCCCACTTCTTCATATTTTAAAAACAGCAGACGTTAGGTGCAAACCCCACACATAATCTGAGGGCAACAAGAACTTGGAACCCCCTCACTTTGACCTTGTTGAACGTGGATATGTGTGTTCAAGACTAGAGGGTAGTTAGAAGATAGCACGGCAGAAGCTAACTCCTAGAAACCTCATCTGCTCATATACAGGTGGCTCCCTGTATCTGTGGGTTCTGTAACTAAGCCACAGCAGGTTGACAGTATACTGTTTAAAATAGACACATAACCAAAAATGTATTTTTTCTTGTTACGATTCCCTAAACATACAGCAAGTGTTAACCTAACATACTTATATTGTATCAGCTATTACTAGTAATCTAGGGATGATCTAAAGTCTATGAGGAGATGAACAAAGGTTCTATGAAGACACCAGGGCATATTCATAATGGGCTTGAGCATCTATGGATTTTGGTACCTGGATCCCAAATCCCATAGTCACCCATGGATATGTGTGTCTACACACATACATATATGGCTATCCCCAGCCATGTCTTTCCTATATGCAATGTCCAGGGAGACACAGCAGGTGGTTTGGCCTTAGACTCTGGTTTTCTAATGAGCCTCCAGGGCATGTTGCTGATTTCAGGAGCTCCCTTGGAGCATCCAAGGGAAGTCCTGTTGGCCTGGGTGGGCTTTGCTGGGTGTGCCCCAGCAAAGGTGAAGGGAAGTGGGCTCCATGGGGTACTTACCCTGCATCTGACTCTGAGGCTGAGGGTTAAAGGCAGTGGAGTGGTTCAAGGAGGCCCGAGGGTTGGGCGTGGGGGCTGGGTGGTGGGGGCTGACCCTCATGGCCGTGCGCCGCAGCTGCTCCAGTTCACTGAGCCGCTCGGAAAAGGACAAGCTCCCGGGCTTGGTCTGATCATCTAGTTTCTGCCGATGTCCTATTGTGGGGACCGGGTGGGGAGGGGAGAAGGAGGAGAGGGAGGCAGGGAAGGAGGGAGGGAAGAGATAAGAAAATGTGTTGTGGAATTTCTGAAAGTGGGGCTTTCTTATCTTTCCCCTCCCTCTCCCCTCACCCCCAAGGTGGGCTTGTTAGAAATCGCTCCCTGGGCTGGCTGCCTGTGGGAATCGGAGCCATTCTTTACTTAGCTGACTGGGGCTCCTTCATCACACTTACTGAGTGCTCCCTCAGTTTGGGGCCTGTCACCATTCACCCCTCTGCATTCACTTTGGGTGAGCAAAATGTAGCAAGATACTAGGTAATGATGCTGGTGATGGTGGCTGTGGTGTGGGACCCATTGCTTATTGGCTCTTGGTCACAGAATGGGGCCAAAAAAGGTACCCTCCCAGAGTCATCAGAGGGCCTCAACTTCCTGCAAACTTGATCGTCATCAGGTCTGAGGCTACAGAGTAAGACCCGGAACTTAGCAGCAGGCCGTTCAACAGGAAACTGGGTGCAGCAAACTCACAGTCCAGGAGTGACATTTCCTGCTACCTGCAAAGACAGGGCATCCCTGGCAGCCCCTACCCAACTTGGGCCCCTCTCCTTCTCCACACAGACTCTTCAGGGACGTCCTTTCTTTCCTGAAGCCCACTCCCTGGGTTCACCCCTAAGAAGGAATAGGCAAGAAGTATAGCCTGGCCCATGGGGGCCCAGAGGGACTTTCCCAGGGACTTGAAATGAACGCAAGGTGGGAATGTGGGCAGTAGGTGTCACTGTCATCGGAAACAGCTCACCGGGCTGGCCTGGGTGGCTGGGCCTCGGGTTTTTCCTCTTAGTTCCCCCATCAAAATGTGACTGAACTAGAGACTGTAGAGTCCAGCCTCCCATTTAGGGACTCAGCCACGGTGGCCCCAGGCCACCGATCCATTCATTTTTTAAAGAGGCCCTTGAGGGTGCTCCCTCCTCACCCTTGGGGTTTGTTTGAAAAGAACCCTTGACTGAGTCATAATCTCCACCTCCAGTTGTCACACAGCTTCACAACAGGACAAGAGAAGCAGCCAGCTTCTGTCCACAGAGAGTGCCCCTTGTTTGTCCCAATGCCATTTCTGTTAGAAAGAGGACCCTGGACTCCATTCTCTCTGCCCAGGCCAGAGCAGGGCTTCGAGAGGTACATTTGTTCCTAGCTCTCAATTGCTACAATTATAAAATTAAATTGTAGAGGTTGTGTTATGGTTCTAAATCTCCGTGGCTTGCCTTCCTTCCTGCTACAGGGCCCCTTGGCACCAATGACACTGTCTCAAATTCCAGGACAGAAAAAGGGCCTTCTATATTGCAGTGATTTTTATCATCAACAAGACCTGTTTGGTTCCAAAAGGAGGAAAAATACTTAAGCATAATATTTGTGCAGTTCAAATGCAACGTTCCCTCTTTTCATGTATCACCAAGGCAAATCTGGACTCTGATTCAGAGCTCTAGCCCACAACGCTAGACTCAAACACAAACACCCTGAGTCACGCAGGCTCGGCCAGCACACATGTAAGAGGCCTCTTAGGGGCCGAGTATTTTAAGCACCAGCTCTATGGACAAAAGGCCACAAGGCACCTCTGTCATCCTTTTCACCACAGAAGTACAAAAAAGTCTTTTTCTAGAACCTTTTGTTTAGTCATTTATGGTGTAAATGGTTCCTCCCTCCTCTTGTCTTGATGGCAGATCCCCACTCCTCATCACACTGAAAAAACGAAGTTTTTGTGCAGAAAAACAATCCCAACTCCAAAACCATTTAAAGCATGATCCAGTCCTTTAACTGTCTACCACAGCCTCACACCTTGTGTTAGCAATCAAGGAGAGAACGGCAGGAGACGTGATTCTGGAGTTCCAAGGCCTCAGAAAGATGCCGGCAGACAAGGGCCTCTGGCAGATTTTGTCTCCATTTCAACTGCACATTCATTCCTAAGGCACCCAGTGGCATTCTTGAAGAACACTGTGTGAAATACAGCAGGTGACCAGGGGTGCATGGGGGATCATCCTGAATTCAGGGTATCGGTAGTGCCTTGGTAAACATGGGGATACATCCACTGAGAACTTAAACAGGAAGAAGCCATTCCAGGCAAGCCAGCATGGGGCCAGACACACAGGAGATTATTTTTATTAGTCTTCCCTCATGACCCCATGATTTTAAAAAGTTTTAACATGTGAGTTGTTTCTGGACCAGCTGACACCTGCCAAAATTGTAGTCATTTACAGAGATTAACTGATGACTGTCTGCTTCAACAGGAATGCTGGGCACAGCTCTCAAAGAAAACAATTCTCTTTAAGCTGTTCCCTAAGCCCTGGGTCTCGGGTTGAGTTTAATGCTCAGAATTGGGGAATCATTCATCCTACACTCTCCTCGCATGCATTCTGGGAGGCTGAAGGAGAGGTGCTGGTTTGGAGGAAACTTGACCCCAGGATCACAGGGTGCTAGGGAGCTGTAACCCCCACTGGGACACTCGGGAAATGAAAATCATCTCGTTCAAGGTGTGGTCCAGATGCACTTAGATGTGAGAGCCGAGGAACACCTAATTCTTTTCTGAAACCATCAGGCTTCGTGTGCCAAGTAGCAATATTTTTCATGAAATATAGGCGCTTCCGATAGAAACTTTCAGGCTGGGGGAAAATGAATGCTTTATGCCTTCAGTTTCCTGTATCTGCATGCTATTAAAATATCAATTTGCCCCCTGAATTTTAAATAGAGGAGTATAGAAAATGTCCACTATGAAATTCACTCTTACTGATTAGTGGGCTCTGGAAGGCAATAGGGAATTCAACACCGGATCAAATTGATGTTAGGACTGTGCAAACCTAAACATATGCATGCTGGTGGCCTGGAGTTTGAGCTCATTGGGAGTTGATCATGAAGGTTTCCAGAATGCTTAACGCTGTTACCACTTTAAGACTGTGTACAGGGGGGTTGGAGGGGAAGCTCAGTGGCAAATAGCACCTGCTGCTCTTCCAGAGGTCCTGGTTTTAGTCCCTAGCACCCACACGGTGGCTCACAACTGCCTGCATGTACATCGTGCACATACATACATGTAGGCACACACATATACATAAAATAAACTAAATCTTAAAAAATAAAAAGATCGTATATAACAGCATGTAACTGAATCACACAGAGTTGAAAGGGACCCCAAAGTCTTCTATCACCCATTGTACTTTTGGAGGAAAAGTACTTGATTGGGATTTTATTATACACAGGGCAAACAACAAAAAGGTTAAAACAAATCTATAATGAAATAAATGAATGACTTTGCTACATTTATTTCATTCCAAAGGTACCTCTGTAGGTCCCTGGGGTAGTTACACATTGGAGCATTCCTGAATGTTACATTTTAGGCACTCGCTTTCACTTTCTCCTGTAAAAACTAGGTGCATGTGGCTCACTAGTACGTCAACAGTCTCTCTCAGGATGCCATTGGGACCTGTGCTACTTAATGTAGCACAGGAGTCTCTGTCAAAGGAAAGAAGGCCAAACTGCCACGTTTTCTAGAAACGTTTGACCAGAGAGAATAAAGAATTTGCTGGCAGTCAGCACATTGCCTCATGCTGCTGAAACTGGTTTATTAGTTTTCTTAATGGATTGGGAAGGACAGGGTATACTCAAAGCTTTGTTATGATGAACAATTAGGAGAAATCTATACAAAATGACAACATAGAAAAGATCTCTCTCTCCTCTCTCTCTCTCTCTCTCTCTCTCTCTTGCGCACATGCGCATGCAAAATCATCGTGGTTCTCCTAAAAAGACAGGAGCATTTCATACCCTCCCCTTTCAAAGGTAATTGCATTTCCAAAGATGCCTGCCAGTCACCCAGTTCTAGCTATGTGATCTGGGTATAAAAGCAGGCTTCGTGTTTCTTTGATTTGCTGCAGTTTTATGAGTGTGGATAAGGAAACAGCTCACATTTTCTGTATCACACTCTAATGTTCAAGTTCTAGGTTTATTTATTGTTACTTTGTGCACAGGTGTGTGCCTGCGTGTCTGTATGTGCATCATGTACATGCCTGGTGCCTGAAGAGGTCAGCGGAGGGTGTTGGATCCCCTGGAACTGAAGTTAGAGGTGATTGCGAGCCACTGTGTAGGTTCTGAACCTGGGTCCTCTGCAAGAGTAGCAGGTGTTCTTCAATCCCGTGTCATTAGGATTTTAAAATGACAGCAATGAATGTAAGTATGACCCTTCCTTGAACTCTCAAAAGAAACCTTCCTAAAACAAGCCCAGCCATCTTCCAGATAATTTAGTGTTGAGAAATACTGTCCAATATTACATATTGTTTACATATTATGGGGATGTAGCTTAGGGAGAGAGCCCTTGCCTAACATGGGCCCTGGGTCCTATCTCCAGCACTGAAGAAAAAAAAGTTTTCCAGTTTAATAATAAATATTTAAATTCATTTACACATATATAAGCTATGAAAATACATAGTGATATCATGTAACATGTATTAATATATTATGTATCCCAATACATATTACATATGTATGCTGTTACATATTGTCCAATGGTAAGTGAACATTTCACTTTTCTTTCTTAATTTCCTCTTGGTATCTTTAAGCTACAGGCACAGGACACAGTTGTACTTAAAGAGACTGGGCCAGAGAATCAGCCATTTTTTTTCTTTTTTTTGAGACAGGGTCTCCCCTGTAGCACCAGCTGGCCTGGAACTTGCTATGTAGACGATCTCACAAAGGTCCACCTGCCTATGCCTCCTGAGTGCTGGGATTAAAAGTGTGCACCACTATACCCCGTGAGCCATGTGTTTTTAACTGATAGATGAGAAGCAAGGTTCAGAGAGGTTATGTCAATTAACCCATCACAGGGCCAGAGAGAGGAAGGGTGTGGGTCTGTAAACACACCTAGTGCCGCAGTACTGTTCATACCCAAGTGAGCCAAGAGGCCCAGAATCCTGGCTAGTTTAGACCACAGGGGCATAGGCCTGCTTTTCAGCTCAGCCCTCCATTAC